TGTTCTTTTTCTAACTTTTTTTTTTTTTTTTAGAGTCAGAGTCTCACCATGTTTCCCAGGCTGGTCTTGAACTCTTGGGCTCAAGTGATCCTCCAATCCTCCTGCCTAAGCCTCCTGAGTAGCTGGGATTACAGGTGTACACCACGGCTCCAAGTCTTTCTTTTCTAACACGTGCACTTAAGGTTTTAAATTTCTCTCTAAGTTCTGTTTTGATATGTCAAGTCTTAATTTTTACTCAGTTCAAAATATCTGGAAATTTCTGTTGTGATTTCTTCTTTGATTCATGGCTTATGCTATTTAATTTTAAAGCATTTGGAGAATTCTTGTTACATTTTTATTTCTGGCTTGATTTCACCGTGGTTAAAGAGCATACTCTGAGTAATGACAATTCTTTTTAAAAATTTGAGGCTTGTTTTATGACCCAAAATATGAACATTCTTAATATATTCCATATGCATGTAAAAAGAATGTATACGCTCCAGTGTGGTATGTATGTCAATTTATTTAATATTCAAATATAATGTTCATGTTATTTAAATCATCAATATTTTGTGTGTGTGTGTATTTTATCTTCTTATTCTATCAGGAATTGTGAGAGTTGTATTAAGTCTTCCAATATCATTGTGGTTTGTCTATTTCCTATTTGTGTCCTGTAGTTATCTTGTGAGGATAGATTTAGTCTTAAAACTAACATATTTCTGGTATATTTACCTCCTTATTATTATGAAATATCTCTATCTCTCATAATGTATCTTTCCTTAAAGTCTCTTTTGTCTTAATGTGAGTATAGCCACACTAGGTTTATTTTGGCTAGTGTTTGTATTACTATCTACCTTATTCCATTTTTTAAACTTTCAATCTTTCTGTGCTATCACACACACACACACACACACACATTTATTTGATAACAGAGTTGAGTTTTTCTTAAATCTAGTCTGACAATTTTGGATGTTTAATTTGACTATTTAATACAATTATAACTCATGTAATATCTGATATCTTTCCATTTTACTTACCAACTAATTATTTTTCTATTTGTCCCTAAAGTTCTCTTCTTCTTTTGAATTATTCAAATATTTTTTTTTACTTTTCAATTATATTTTTAGTTATTATGGTGGTTATCCAAGAGATTATAGCATACATCTTTGATCTGTAAGAATCTAATACAAATTATTAATTTTACTACTTCCATGATAATGCTTAGAACCTTAGAACTCTTTAACTCTATTTATACCTCTGTCTTTTACACTATTGTTGTTATGAATTTAAATTCTATATATAATTTAAATCCTTTAAGAAACTATGATTGTTGCTTTGTATAATCAATAGTCAATCGACATTCATGTATATTTACCCTTCTTGTTGCTGTTCTTTTCTTTCTACAATTCTGTGATTTCTTTCGGACTGTTTTCCTTTTGCCTAATGAATTTCACTAAAAGTATTTCTTTTAGTGCACAGGTAACTGTGGTTAATTCTCTCAGCTTCTGTCTGAAAACCTCATTCATTATTAGAGTATATATTTGCTGATAATAGAATTGTAGTGTAGTAGTAACTTTCTTTCAGGACTTTAAAGACATATTCCTTTGTCTTTTGGTTTCATGACTTCTGGTGAAAAATCAACTCTGCATTTTACTGATGCTTCTTTAAAAGTAATGCGTCATTTTTTAATGTGGTTGCTTTTAAGATTTTCTCTTTCACTTTGGTCTTGAGCAACTTTCTTACGATATGCCTAGGTGTGCTTTGTTTTTTATTTATCCGGATTGGGTTTCACTGAGTATGTTGAAAGGTTAAGGATTTTCACTAAGTTTGGAATATTTGTGGTCATTACCTCTTCAAATATTGTTTATTCCTCATTCTTATTCTCTTTTTTCCTTCGAGGATTACAATAATATGTATGATAAAGGGTTTTTTTTAAATGTCCCACGTGTCACTAATGTTATTTTCTGTATTTTTCATTATTTTTTAGTCTGTGCTTCTCTTTGGATATTTATATTGCCCTGTCTTACATCCACTAATCTTGTGTTCCTTTATGTCTATGACATTAAACCATTTAAATGATTTTAATTTCAGATATTATACCTTTTTAGTTCTAGAATTAATTTCCACTTTTAAATTTCAATTCTCTAGTGAAATGATCTTTTTCTATTTTCTCCATTGTTCTTTATATTTATATATTAGTCATACTTATTTTAACATCATTGTCAGTTAATTCTAATATATGGATCATCTGTGGGTCATCTGTGTTGTCTGTTTTTTCTCTTGTTTTTTTTCATATCACCCAGTTTTTGGTGTGTGTATGTGGCAACTGATTTTTTATTGAACGCTGAATATACAAAAAACTGTCCAGGATCAAGATATTATCTTCCTCCTGAAAGTATTCACCTTTTCCTCTGTTAGCTTGATAGAGTCCTGCCTAATCAAATCACCTTAATCCAAACAGGCACTGTGCTTAGTCAAGGCTCTTTGCAGTCATGATAAGCATCTGGCCCTCCAGAACTTCAGTTGAGAACTTTGATATATTCTCCAAGCCCCTTGTTTGTTCTCAGACTTAGTAAATTTTCTTTGGATAAAACTGACTATAGGAGTCAGTTCTCATCCTCCTCAGAATTTTCCTCTCAGGAATCTTAACCTATTCAGTTATTATCATATCATCTGCTTTTTATTACTTCAAGTAGATAGTTTTTAAATTTTAATCCATTTTTATGGTTGTTTTCAGCTTCTAGGTAATCCATCTAACCTGAGAGCATAATTCTTCCAAATATAAGCATAACTTTTAACCTGACACTATTCAAAATATATTTTGTAGCTTTTGATAGTAAAGGAAGAGGAGTTTTAAAGTAATATGGGCTACATTGCCTTCAGTAGAATTTCTTCCCCTAAAACAGCATGTATTAAAACTCATTATATTCTGTGCCTAAAAACAATAGCAAACGAATTGTAAAAGATGCACATACAATAGACAAATTTGAGAAAATACCTGATGAAATGGGTGCTATTACCAAGATATTTGGCCTCTATTTTTGTTCTATAACAACAGAACTGGCCTATTTTCATAAGGAATGGATGCTGTGAAAGTTATTTACATCATGTTTACTACTAAATTCTAATAATTGAATTTTAAAATGTTGATCTATTCTACACAAGTCTGATGGCAGCCCTTAGCTGGTAAGGAATGACCCATGCTTTATGAATACATACAATGATGATGTGGATTCTGGGTATTTATTTGGCCAGTCTCATTTGGGTGATTATACAAATTAGACTTTCCTTGCATAAAATAAAAGAAAATTTGGATTTTTATGATATTGAAATATATTGCCAAAAACTCTGACCAGATTTTTTTTACTTGTCATCATACATAAAAGCTATTTCTTTTAAAAATAGCTAATAATAATAAAGGGAGAAATCATGAAAGTTGACTACCATATTTATGTCTTATATATTTGTTTGTGCTTAATTCTGTTCTCACTTTTACCTCTTCCTCACTTCAATTTTTATATTGAATGAAGGCTAAAGACTGTATGTCAAGAGTAGCTTAAACAGTCAGTAATTTTCCTTTTTTATTTCCTTATATGCTTAGAAAAAAAGAGTAATTCAGGGAAAAGTGAAAGTACTTAAACTCCAGTAGAATGGTAGTTGAAATTTAAAAGTTAATGTTAGATTATAAAGCAAGCTCTTCAATTGCTCAAATTCTGCTACAAGGTAAATCAAATTGTCTTATAGTTACATCCATATAACTTTAACTAGCTTACTTGGCTTATTGAACACATCATAAAACAATTATAATTCACATAAATTCATTACTGTTCCAGTCTATTCTGGGACAAAATAATGCTTGTTTCATAAAAATCCAACTTTGGCATAATTTAAAAATTAAATTAATTCAAAATAACTGAAGGTTACATTAAAGAACAAAACAGAAGATAATTAAACATCAGAAAGAAATCATTATTTCTTTTGTATAGACTGTCCACATCTGCAAAGTAATGTAAGGTAAAAAAAATTTGAGATCAACTGATAATCAAACTTAAACATAATAGCCAAGATTCAGAAGAAATTTCCTGACTCTTTAGAAAGATGGGGAGAAGCTGCAGGAAAACCAAAGGAAATATACATATTAAACCACACTTGGATTTCTATTTATAAAGCAAAAGGAAGTACAAGGAGACCTATGATGCTATTGAGAGTCCTGAATTTTTCAGAGGCTTATTTCAGTTCTAAGTTTTTTTTTTAATGATAATATCAAGCAGTGATTTATTTAACAGTTTAGCAAAAGGTATGGCAAGTTATATGAGATTTTTCTCTTTATTATTTATAAATGAGAATGTTTAAAAATTTTTAATTATCAGTATTTATGAAACACAATGTGCTAGGTAAATAGCAAGCAAATAAAATAATCTCTAGCATATATGCTTCTCACAACAGGAAAAGGGTTGGAATTTTAGTGTATTAGTATTTTAATGAAGTGTATGTTTGTATATAATTTGGGAAAAACAAGCATGCTGAGTTTTATGCTCATGGATATTGAAGGGGCTTAACCTGGTAATAGTCAACCAGAAAGGCCAAAGTAACTATAAAGAATTTCAAACAGTTTAGCCTTGCAAAGATTAAATTATATAGTAAAGACAGGCACCACAAATACACAGAGATTCAAGCTTTCGTAAATGCTTTAAAGCGTTTCATTAAGAACACATTAACTTAAGAAATTCATTAAAATAAAATTTCTTTTTTATACTAATTGAGTAATTTATAGCTATGGAAACATTAATCACCAAGAGAAGATCAAATAGAAAAATACCTATTCAACATCTAGTATAATTTAAAATGCTAAGTGCAATTAATACCAATAAGAGGGAACAAATTCAGTGCTACTGGGGACATGCCTAAGTTTGGAATAGTTGTATGAATATTTAGATAACAATACAATTTCTTAAAAGAAAGCCATTGCAATGGGAAGTTTCACAAAATTAATGAGAGGTTAGCTGAACTACATACAATGCTTAATTGAATACAAAGCTATTTCTGTACTTGGGGTTTTCCTTAACATCTTCCCCAGTGTCCTGAACCAAGAGGTTGGGGAATATCGGCTTCAGGAATTTAAACTCACCAGTCCCAGAGTCTCCCGTCAGACACACCTCATACTGGTAGCTCTGGGACAGGGTCCCCGTGCCGCTGACGTCCACCAGGTGGCCCGGAAAATGGCCCTCGGGCATTGAGCAGCGACCCCCCGAGGCCGCCCTGTTCCTCCTGCACAGCCGCACCGCCACGAACAGCAGCACCGAGAAGAGGAAGAGCGAGGACACCGA